ATATTGCAATCGGAGAGGATATTTACGGGAGGTTGACGAGCAAGATATGGAACTCTATAAACTCTAATACATATACATATATATCTTCCTCGATTGCATTTTTTGACGATAATCAAAGAACATCAAAGAGTATTGAATTGAATGATTCTAAAATGTCTAATTCTACTAATATGATTTTAGGCTACCATAAAAACTCGTGTAAATAATTTCAGAGGAAAAGATTAATAATCAATAGTTCATTTTTTGTATCTCATCGCAAACTTTTTAACTTTTATTTTAATTTAAATGATGACTGCACATAAGTTCTCAAAAAATATAACATAAAAATAAACATATCTTATCTAAAACTAAATATTTTTTATTTATCATTAAATTATTGTAAGGCGATAATTCAATATTTTTATGATGAAATGTTGTGCTATAAGATAGTATTGTAATGTAGTTTATGATGTTATAAGAGAACAATGCTTCAAGCAAGAAATTTTAAATGTTAAGCAAAAGTGCCACGACTTTTTCCTTTTTTAATAAAAATACTGTTAAAATAGCTGAAATAATAAAAAAGTATGATAATTAAAAATAGTTTAAGAAAAAATATACAAATGTATGTTCAAGAGCTCTTTTTTGAAAATAAAACAGGAATAAAATTATTGTTAAACTAGATATGAATCTATAATTTGCAGGTAAATAATTATAATTTTCATTAGTTTTATGATGGTTATATATTTCAGGATCTGATTTGTTATTAAGAATTACATCCTATGATTTTCTGTCTTATAAAAGAACACCAATAACAATGACAAAAAATTTTATGCAATTATCCTTTAATTTATTTTGAGATTTATTTTCAAGGATTCATTTTCTACTCATATTTATATTTTTAACTAAGACACACTTTCGAAAATGTGCATTTTAGAATAGCAAAGATTCTACTAAATTAAACTTTATCTTTTTTTATCTTAATTGCCGAAAATATCTCAAGTATAGTTAATCCGCAAGTAAATATTATTTAATTAGAGTTTTCAGAAAATTAATGAATTTTGCTTTTTTTCATTTTAGGAAGTGCCATTTTTAGCATTCCTGCTTGGCACTCATAATTAAAATTAATTAATGCTTAGCTGTCAACAGGAAAAATGTGGGTTAATCCGAAATTTGAAGATGGAATAAAAGAAAAATCCAGTTTTAAAAACGTTGCTATAATTGTTTTTCGCAGTTATAGCGTTTTATATTGGTAAATATTAAAAGCAACAACATTTAAAGCTTGTTAGCGAAATTAACTTTTAAAATTTTAATTATTTTTACTTTGAGACGTGTGTTTTTGACGTAGACATTACTTGACTTGAATTTAATATTTTATTTCTTGAACATAATGCATGATAACTTTGAAAAAAAATAATTTTTTTCCTTTGAGAAGAGTATTTCATATTTTACTGTAAAGTTGATTACAGATTTGGTGACTCTAAAATATTTCAAATGAGAGCAGTAGCGTAATAGAAGAAGAATTTAAGTATAAAAATTTCTCA